AGGCATCTCAGGACGTGGATAAAATAAGAAAGGAGGTGAAACTTAAGTGGAAGGGAGGCTTCACTGCTAAGCACATCAACAGCATAGGGTGGAGCAGCAAGAGCAAGGCCAGGACGACTCGTTCTTGGTCAGCTTGGAAGGGATGGTCTTCTAGAGGTTTTGGGACGAAAGTGGATACAGACTGACAGGGGAGTTGAGAGTGGCCCTTGGAAATATACGGTGTTACTACAAGATAGCCTGGCAGAGGGACAAGGCAATAGAAGGCCCTGGATCTGAAGGTGACAAGAAGGACTAGGAGGTGACAGGCCAGAGTGCCCTGGGATAGTGCTCAGAGCCAGCAGCCTTGCCAGCTGCTCTCATTCTGCTCAGCTGCTTAGAAAGGAAGCGGGATGAAGGAGAGAGCGTGGTGTCTGCTCTGCAGAATGACCTTCCTGCCCACGGCAAGGGCAGTGGTTTTCCTTTCTGCGGCGGCCACCACTCTCAGAAGCCAGAGTCAATAGCCAGTTGCTCAGCAGATGTCATTGAGTACCTGTGTGTAAGTCCCCAGGGCTGGTGTCTCAACAGCATTCCTGAATGAAGATGGAGTACATCCGTCACAGCGAGAAAGCAGGGTCCTTAGGAAACCGTCTGTCAGCAAGTGCAAGAACGAAGCATCCGGTGTAGGCAGGGTGCAGAGTCGAGGCAGTTGCGTTGACTATGGTGCATGCAAAGGCAGAGGGGGTTACCTTAGGCTCCTGAAACGCCCTAAGCTGGGGTTCCTCAACCTCCGCACTGCCTGACGTTCTGAGCTGTAGAACTGTCGGCTGTGGGGGGCTATCGTGTGCATTACAGGATATTTAGCCACTTCACTGGAATCTACCAACAAGACAGCAGTAGCACCTCTCAGGTGTCTCCAGGCATTGCTAATGGCCTCCTGGGGGCAGAGTCCCTCCTGGTTGAGGACTAACCCATCTTTTTTTTTCTCTCTCTAACCCATCTTTTCCTCTCCTCTAGCTTTTTTACTTGTGTGCAGAAGTTTATCAGCAGACACACTCCAAGGATTCCCGAAGCTTGGGAAAAGACATCTGGAATATTTTCCTAGAGAAAAATGCGGTATGACAGTCATGGGTTGGTTTACAATTTTATTACACTCTTTGGACCACTCAGAGACAGAGGAAAAACAGCAAAATATTCAGGCCAAATGCAAACAGGTTCTTTTTTATTTTTTTTAATATATATTTTATTGATTTTTACAGAGAGGAAGGGAGAGGGATAGAGAGCTAGAAACATCGATGAGAGAGAAACATTGATCAGCTGCCTCCTGCACACTCCCCACTGGGGATGTGCCCGCAACCAAGGTACATACCCTTGACTGGAATCGAACCTGTGACCCTTCAGTCCGCAGGCCGACGCTTTATCCACTGAGCCAAACCGGTCAAGGCTGCAAACAGGTTCTTAAAGAGAAGTGTGGGCTGAGAAGTTGAGACTCCCGGATTCTGTTCTCGCTCTGCCCTCTCAGGGCTGCTCTGCTCTGGAAACCTCTTTAGTTCCGCATGCACCACAATGGAATACACATTCCCTCCTGGAATAGTGCCCCCAGCCCTTCCTGCCTCGCTCATCCCTCGTATTAAGAAATAGGCCCAGAGACATCAGATGAGCCAGCCTGACTTGCTCTGACTGCCCTCAGGCAGAGTCCAGAGGGAGGACAGCCCAGAGCACGGGGGACAGGTGAGCACCGCATCTGGGCTTCGTTCCCAAGGATGCTGCAGGGACCCGGCTGGCGGCAGCTCCCATCTTAGACCTTCTGATCTGATTAAGCCAATTCCAACGTGACTTTCTTCATCTGGCTGCTAGGACTAATGAGTGAAGAAATGAACTGTTTTTCCTCAAGATTTTCATTTTTTCCCCTTAGATGGATCTTGAATAAGGAGATTAGAGCTGCAGGTTGGTCCCTGTTGGTTGTTGTGGAACCACCCCAGCTGTCAGGTACTCAGAGCAAAAGCCAGAACATGCTCAGAGGACGACTGGGTAACATAGGACCGATTTCCCTGGGAGCGCAGGGAGGGCAGTCCATCCAACAGCCTAATAAAGGGTCTCCCTTGCTGCTGTGTTAGCAGCAGTCACTTTTTTGGAACATCCATCCCATGCACTCTGATGTCCTTGAAATAAGAGTGAGGAAACTGCATGTCCCACCCTCAGTATAGAACCGGCTTACTCTGTATTCTCAGATTCCATTTCTCCAAAAGCCCTAGCCTGGAATTCAGGTGTACAGGTTGGGGGATGGTGAGAGGAGTGCCGGATAGATGTAGGGAAAGGGAGAGAAGGCAGTGCTGTCTCCCACGTCCCCTGGGGGGGTGTGACCTCACCACTTCTGCCCCCCTCTTCTGTTTTTTAGCCACTGAGAGTGAAGGTCCCAGAGGCGTTACAGGCTGAAATCGGTAAGTTGGCTCATTGGTCAGTTAGTGCCCGTCTTGTCCTGGGTGCTCGGGAGGCTGCAGAGCAGAGGGGCCCAGTCCCTGCCCCGAGCAGCTGCCCTCGGATCGGGGGAATGACAGTTCCTGCAGCACTGCTCACACCAACGGGACAGGCCCTGCCCGGAGCTCGCTGCCTGGTGGAGCTCGTCACAGGAAGACACAACTTGCTTAGGAGACCTGGGCTCATTTCTGCCAACCTTCCCTGTGACCTTTCTGGGCCTCAGTTGGGTCAGCTGTACAGAGAGAGAACTGGATGCAGTGAGGGATTCCTAAGCCTGCTCGGTCACCAGAATCGCTTAGGGAACTCTTTAAAAGCACGGAAACCAGGGCCTCACCACCCCACCCACAGAGCTGGGATCTCAGGGTGTTTTTGTACGTTCCTCAACTAGTGCTGACCACAGCTGGCCTGGAGCGAACTGGGTGAGCACTTGGCTCCCTTCCTGTCTCCGGTCACCAGCCTGAGGGGTGGATCCCAGCCAGTTTTCCAGAAGATAGAATTCGAAGCTGCCTTTGGAGAGAGGGTGACAGGAAGGAAAGCTCATGGGCACAGGCGAGAGGGTGAGCAGAGATTCTTAAAAGCAGAGAGGGAGCCACCACTGCCAGGAACTTGGCCATGGCTGCGTGAAGCTAGATGCCAGGGCAGGAGAGACCGTGTGCAGTGTTTGGGGGGAATGGGTTTCATATGAAGTGCTGTGAGCTGGCCCTGGGGCCTAGGAGGAGTGTGAGCCTCTCAAACGCGTGCCCCTGGTGTCTAGACGCAGCCCAAGAGCGGGGCTTTACTATTTCTCCACTTAATAGAGCGCAGAACACCCAGAAAATAGTCTCGTCCTTGCCTTGGGACTTGCTCATCGGGATTTTAGTCCTCAACTCGGGGATGCCTGCTAGGTCCAGGCCCCGCTTCCTTTGGCTAACAGGAGGGCAGAAAGCTAGCCTCCCGCCTGTGCCTCCCTCCCTTTGACACGCTCCACTAATGTAATCTCCTCCTCCCCAACGTCCTCCCCCATTTCTGTCTCTGGCTCCCACCACAGACTTGCGCTTACGGAGTGGCGAGGACTTGCGCTGCGTTCTCTGTGAGGCTCAGGAGGCAGCCATGCCGGAGATCCAGGAGCAGATCCAGGACTACAGGTGGCCTGACCCTCTCCTCCCTCTGCTCCTCACCCCTGTTCTTTCCCCTGTGATGTGTGTATCTGTGTGTGTGTGTCTGTCTCACATTTCTTGGTATCTGTCTGTCAAGCATTTGTGTACATTTGTGTCTCTCTGGCTCAGAACGAAGCGCACTCTGGGACTGGGCAGCCTGTACGGTGAAAATGACCTGCTGGACCTGGATGGGAACCCTCTCCGAGAGCGCCAAGTGGCTGAGAAGCAGCTGGCTGCCCTGGGAGATATTCTGTGAGTCTCCAGTTCCACTACTACCCCCTGAATAGGTTGACTTTTTTTATATATAATTTTATTTATTTCAGAGAGGGAGGCAGAGGGAGAGAGAGATAGAAACATCAATGATGATAGAGAATCATTGATCGGCTGCCTTCCGCATGCCCCCTACTGGGGATCAAGCCCCCACACTGGGCATGTGCCCTGACCTGGAATCGAACCTGGGCCCTTCAGTCTGCAGGCTGACGCTCTATCCACTGAGCCAAACCAGGTAGGGCTAGGTTGTCATTTTGTGGGTCTGTTTACCAACCTCTCCTCTTTCACTTCTTGTCTGATTCTCCTTCTGCTGAAAGACGGGGCTGCACTTCACAGGCTGAGGGCTGATGGTCTTTCAAGGGAGTTGCAGAACCCAGGGTCCTGACAGTCATGGGGTGGTTCTGACAAACCACGGGCTCTAGGAGTGCCGTGAGCTTGCTTTCTTTCCCTCTTTCTTTCTTTTTTTAATTGATTTTAGAGATAGAGAAAGTGAGAGGGTGGGAGAGAGAAACATATCTATTGATTGTCTCCTGCACGCCCCCTACTGGGGATTGAGCCCGCAACCTAGGCATGTGCCCTGACTGGGAATCGAACCAGTGACCTTTTGGTGCACTGGACACACCCAGCCGAGCCACACTAGCTGGGCAGTGAGCTTTCTGCTTCCCCTTCCCAGCCCTCTGCCTGACTGGTCTCCCTTCCTGTCCCTAAGATCATATCTGACTGAGCCTGAGAGGCACACTGCGTCTCCAATGGATCAAGTTACTTGAGGAGATGGATAGAACTGGCTTACAGCAGACTCGCCTAACTGACCGTGTTAAAGAGCCTCTGGCAGAGCTGCTGTGCTTGCTCCTTTCCAGTCCCCTTCTCTAAAGTGTGCAGGCTCCTGTGGTGGCTTTGTGGGGACACTTCAGGCTTAGAGGTAGATTCACCCCAGTGCTGCTTCTTAACTCAGTAGTCGTGTGACCTTGTTCAAGCCATTTCATCTCCTTTAGTCTCACTTATAAAATGGCAAAAGTCAGACTAGACAATCTCCATAGTCTCTACTAACACTGATTTTTCAGTTCAGCAACTATTTCTGAAGTCTTTACTGTGTGCCTAGCACTGTTCTATGCTCCTGGGATACATTAGTAACCCAAACGACGCTTCTTGTGGCGCTGTTATAGTGGGAAGATAGAGCACATATAAAAAGTAAGTGAATTATATAGTAGTTTGGAAAATAGTAGGTGCTGGGAGGTGGCGGGGCATAGAGCAGGCTCCAGGGGGGCAGGAGCTCCAGAGCTGGGGGCGAGTCTTTAAGAAAGTGGGGAGTCCCTTTCCCTGCTGATAGCTCCCGCAGACATGGTGAATGTTCCTAAAACCCGCCGAACTTTCTGTAAGAAGTGTGGCAAGCATCAACCCCACAAAGTAACACAGTACAAGAAGGGCAAGGCTTCTCTGTATGCACAGGGAAAGCGGCGTTATGACGGGAAGCAAAGTGGCTATGGTGGGCAGACTAAGCCGATTTTCCGAGAAAAGGCTAAAACTACAAAGAAGATTGTGCTGAGGCTTGAATGCGTTGAGCCTAACTGCAGATCTAAGAGAATACTGGCTATTAAGAGATGTAAGCATTTTGAATTGGGAGAAGATAAGAGAAAGGGTCAAGTGATTCAGTTCTAAGCTTCATATTTTGTTTGATTATATGACAAAATCATGGTATGTTCACTTCAAAAAAAAAAAAGTGGGGAGTTATCCTTGAAGACAATTGGGAAAGAGCGTCACAGGCAGAGACAGCAGCCAGGGCAAAGTAGGAATGTGCTTGACATATTTGAAGAACGGCAGACCAGTGTGGCCAGAGCAGATTCAGATGGTGCTAAAGTCCGAGAGGTCACGGGGGTCCACCACCTCACACCTGTGACTGGGAAGCCATTGGAGCTGTGAGAGACTCGAGTGGGTGGAGGGAGGTGGGAGAGCAAGGAAGGGTCCAGACAGGGAAGTCAGTTCCCAAAGCCATGCAGTGGGGGCGTGGCCCACGGTGGCGGCCTTGGAAGTTGTGGAAAGACGTCATTCTCAGTCTGTTCTGACAGTGGAGCAAACAGGATTTCTTTTAAAAAGTCAAGGAAGACTCCATGGTTTTCTAACCTAAGCTACTAAAAGGCCGAAGGAAGGAGCCATCGCTCAGGATAGGGACGGCTGTGTGGAGCAGTTTTGTCATAGAGTCTATGACATAGACTGTTGGGGGCGCAGATGGACAGGAGATGGTTTTTAGGCATCAAACTGGAGATTTGAGTAGCAGCTGCACATATGAAGCTGGTGTTTGGTAAGAGGTCTGGGCTGGATGGAGTTGAGACTAGATGAGATCAGACAGGGAAGGCATATTCTCTGAAAACAGCCCTCTGACCTTCAGCCAGGCCCTGAATCCTCCTGGGCCTTAGCTTCCCTCACAATCAAATGGCAGTAATCACCCAACCAGTCCAGGGACGGAGGCAAAACCTGACTGAGCCCATTCTGAGATTGGAGCATCACGAAATTATTTGGGATTATTACAGACAGCATAATAACCCACTTCTAATGGTTTCCATTTAAAGCAATGGAGCTTCAGTCTCATCACATAGACCTACTCATGGGTTATTTTGAGAATTAGATGAGTTAATACTTGTCAGTAGGTTAGGATAGTGCTGGGCCCATAGTTAACACTCAAATAGAAGTTTCGGTTACTATTTATTCACCTCTTTTAAATAGGTTTCTTTGAGTTAAGTCCTAAGGTATTATCTTGCTCTCTCACTGTCTTTCCTCTGACCTCTTTGTCAGCCCAACCCCTCCTTTAGTTCTAGGTGGACACAATCGGAAGCGCCTCTTCCTCCATAATAACTTCAGAGGCTGAAACAGGTACCAGGCAGGAGGCTGGATTTGCACATTCCCCCCCATTAGCTAGAAGGACATCGTCGTTAAAACTGTGGATGGAGTCCCTCAGGAGAATGAGGACCCTCCTCTCCTGAGCCCACACTGGCTCAGAGCTGAGACCCAAAGTCACACCCGACCTTTTCACCATCCTCCTCCCTCCTCCCCACACTCCCTTCCTCCCAGTCTGCACCGGCGGAGGAGCCACTGCCCTTGCCGTCTGAGTCATCTGTTCTTTCTTTTGTTCCAGGTTCAAATACGAGGAAGACAGGAGGTGAGTGAGTCTGGTGTAGTTTCAAGGTGGGGAGGCATGGGGTTGAGCTGCTGTGCTTTTCCGTCTCTGCCAATCACAGGAGAGTCCCCAGCATTGTGGGGTCACCGCCTGTCCCAGGAGTCTGTGTCACCACGCAGCCAGCTCATGAGTCCAGGCCCCTAATACTCAGGATCGCTGCCTGGGGTGGGGTCTGCTTCTCAGTGTGAAGACGCTGAACTGCCATCGCTCACAGTATTCCCATACCTTGCATCCCTTCACCCAAATTAGCCCTGATCTCCCTCCCACTTTTTTCTCCTAACCTACCTAGAGAAGTAAGGGTGATAGGACGGCCTGTGAAAGCAGCGCCTACAGAAGGGAGCTGACTACAGCATGCTTTCTCTCTTGGCACATACTATGATTATTTTTTGCAGTCTGGATACAGATCTTTGTTTCTCAGCAGCCAGTGTTAAAGTGAGCCTGTATGCTCTGAGCATGCACACTTCATAAGGGAGAAGGGATGGGGTTAGAAGTCTGTTTAAGAGGAAGGAAGACCAGGGCAGTAGCATTTGCTGCACTGAACCCACAAAGTGGATAATCTACCAAATTGAGCCAAATCCATTTTTAAACACAGAGCTCTGGACAGTTTTATCTGTGGCAACTGAAAGCTACTTGACAGCTCCTTTCCGTCCTTTCTCTGTACTTGGCTGAGGGAGGGTGGCGAGGACATTCTGCCTTAGAAGAGACCGGTTGGCGTTTCTCCCCCTCCCTGTGCCACTCCTCCCCCAAGTAAGTGCCTGAGGACATGAACTGGGGCCTCCCCTGGCCCCCCAGGCCTTCCCACGGCTGGTTTGCTTCCATTGTAGGGAACCGGCATGTCCTTCCACTGACCACTATCCCTGTGTTAGGAAGAATTCTGCTCAGGAAAAGTACAATTTCTCCTGGGAGTCATGGCAGCTAAGACTTGTAGCCAGCTTCTGCCTGCTGCCCTGTTTGAATATTCCAGACCTCCCTCTGACTGCCCTGGCCCCTACCTGCCGCTTTACCACCCTACTGGGTGGTGGTGAGGAACCAAAGCAGCATTCTTACCCTTCCCTGTGCTGGCAGAGACATGACTGAGCTCTCTGGGACAGCACCCCGCTCCTGTCTTCCAGCGCCCCCATGGACTTCGCCCTCAACACCTACATGAGCCATGCTGGGATCCGGCTTCGAGAGGCACGGTCTTCCAGCACGGCTGAGAAGGCCCCGTTGTCTGCTCCTGACAAGGACAAGTGGCTGCCCTTCTTCCCGAAGACCAAGAAGGTAACAGAGCTCCCCTAGAAAGTGTCTTCTCTTGACACAGTTCTCTGCACTGAGGCAGATTAGAAAGCCCTTTTGGAGGATCTAGCTCAGTGGTCGGCAAACTGCTGCTCGAGAGCCACATGCGGCTCTTTGGCCCCTTGAGTGTGGCTCTTCCACAAAATACCGACTTCTGCGCATGGGCCACGAAGTTT